AATATATTATACAGATATAGAAAAATACATGATAAGACCACAGACTTCTTCCTGTAACAATATGTCTTAGAGAGGTTTCTGTGTTAACATACGGATTACCTCATCCTTTGTGAGAGCTGTATTGTATTGCTTGGTATGAATGTGCTATAATTTAATCAACATTTCCTTTCTAGAGGACACAGGTTTCTGCCATCTTCATTGTTAAAAACACTGACGTATTCCTTCATCCTAACCACACACCTGCAAGAAGGGACTAGCATCCTGCAAATACCCTTTTTTTTGTATATGTGTGTGCTTCTGGGCTTGAAACTGGATTTCCTGGTCACAAACCATTGTTTTTCTTTATATATGCACCTCCCTTTCCCTCCCCACTTAAAGTCTAACATGTTCCCTTCCCAAAGAGAACAGATATATGCTGAATGGATGGACCATCCTGCTTTTCTCTTGCCAGGAAACACTATTTGCACTTTGGGAATTTCAGATGCAAAATAGGTTGGCTCACTTTCTTTTTGCTACAGCATATCTCGGTCAGGCATCTTGAAAAAGTCCCTAATAGAATACTATGTCAGGGCCGGCCCTGTGGCTTAGCCGTTAAGTGCGCGCGCTCCGCTGCTGGCGGCCTAGGTTCGGATCCCGGGCGCGCACCGACGCACCGCTTCTCCGGCCATGCTGAGGCCGCGTCCCACATACAGCAACTAGAAGGATGTGCAGCTATGACATACAACTATCTACTGGGGCTCGGGGGGAAAAATATATAAATAAAAAAAAAAATTATAGGAATATTATGTCATCTCCCATGCTTTTGAATAATTCATTTTTCATAGCTGAATGCCAGTTGTCTCTGACCAATTAAGAGCAATGGCCCACAAAGGTGCCCTCTGCTTATAAAGATGCATTCACAACCCCAGTGTAAATATGCAGCTTCCAAAGGTAGCAGTGTGATGCGCCTGAAATGAGGGGCAAGAACAGCAGCCTTAGATTAACACAGAAGAGAGCCCTGGAGGAGAAATACATACATTTTAAAAAGTGCTCCCAGGGAGCAAAGCACTAAACATGAACTGTAGAAAATCTTAATTTTCTGAACTTCATTTTCAATATCTATAAAATGGGGGTAAAACCTACTTTAATAATGCTCCTTAAGGACTAAACAAGTGTTAAACTAAAATATACTACTGCTATTACAGACTATATCTGCAAGTAAATGTGTCACAAATGCGCTGGACCATGTTAGCTAGGAAGGGCTGGAGGCTGTCACTGACCAATGATACATCATTCAGGAAGTAAACATTCCCCAAGTCAGTACCTCTCTCCTTAACAGATTTTCTCTCGTGATCCTGGGCATAAACTGATTTCGATGTTCGTCCTTCTCCGAAGTCCATCTCTAGCCTGTGCCTTGGTAAGTATGCAGCAGCACAAAGTGAGGGCGGTGGAGGGGTGGGGGGTGGGGGCAGCACTGCAGCAGAGCAGAAAACACAAAGACCAAGGCATGCTTTCCAGAGCTCCCTAATTCGTGCATATTTAAATACGCTTTGTCTAAACACAATACTTTAGATTTTCTGTGTGATTTCCTTTAAAGACTTGTAGTCTGGATGTACACCATGGTGAGATCCCAATTTTAACCAGGCCACTACTGAAGAATCAATAAAGCTTGGCGGGCTGGGCGCAGACTGCCACTTACCAGCTGTGTAACTGTGTGCCAATTACTTAATCTCTCTGCACCTCAGTCTCTTCTTATGCAAACTTGGGATAATCACAGGTCTACCGTGCAGATTAAATGTGTTATTTATAAAGCATTGAGAACAATGCCTGCCAGAAGTAAACACTATCTTTGTAACTAAAAATAAAATAATCAAAAAGCAGCTATTGATTTGGTAAATTAGGTATTCTAAAATTTTTAGTCCTGTGTCTTAAACGTATTGCCCCAGCTTTATTGTCCTACACCACAGATCCAGGCTTGTCTTACCCACTTTTCTTTTTTTTTTCACAGAAACAGGCGTATTTATTGTTTTTTTTTTTTCTTTACTAGTCTTCTTAGGCTTTTTCACTCCCGCTCCTAGGCTTAAATAATACTTGTCCCTGTAATACTTGCATTAGGTGTAGATGTCTGCATCTGTGTCTTGCGTGGTCCCCAACATAAGACTCCTGTGGACGGCTTCAGGACCACCTGGGGAGCCCCGGAGGCTCATCAGTAGGCCTGGGGCCTGCCCCGTCACTCGACATCTCTCAGCCCCTCAGGCGAGCCAGCTGTGCAGCCAGGTCTCAGCAAGATTTTGAGTTTCCAGAGGGCAGGGGTAGAGCCCCAGCCTTTTTTCTGTTCCCCTACAATGCCTTCAACGGTGCCAGCACTAAATAAATGGTTTTTGAAAAGAACGTTGTCCTTGTCTGAGGACTACACAGGCCTGGGGGCTTAATGACTCGCAAGTGTGTATATGCAAGAAAAACGAATGAGCAAAAACGTAGTTGAGGAGCGATTCTGTCCCTTTCAGTAGTACAGAAATCTGCCAGTGGGGCATTACACACCACTACAAATCGTTACTGCCATTTATGTTGCTTGTGATAATTTGTAAAACCGAGGCTCAATTGTTAAATCACTATTCTGGAAGCTGCTCCTCTATAAGCAATCATCATAAAGGTGGCATATTCGGTTGGACGCTTTAGTCTGCCAGGGCCGCCACAATCAAGTATTACATTTTGGGTGGTTTACACAACAGAAATTAATTTTCTCACAACTCTGGAGGCTAGGAGTCTGAGATCAAGGTGTCAGCAGTTGTTTCTTCTGAGGCCTCTCCCCATGGCTTGTAGATAGCGATCCTCTCCGTGGGTCTTCACATGGCCTCCCTCTATGCGTGTCTGTGTCCAATTTCCTCTTCTTAGAAGGACACAAGTCCTATTGAATTAAGGTACACCCTAAGGACCTTATTTTCAACTTAATCACTTCTTCGAAGACCTCATCTCCAAATATCGTCACATTCTGAGGTACTGGGGGTTAGAACTTCAATATATGAATTTGCGGGGACAAATTCAGCCCGCGGCAGACAACCATCACTTGAACACCTGGAGATGCGTGTCCTTGAGTGTTTGACTCTAAGATGCAAGCGTGGTGCTGAGATGACGTAAGTTTACATACATGACGAGGGCTGACGGCTTCTGGCGTGTTTATGTTCTTCAAGGCACGGAGCGTTTACCAGGAAGTGTGTATATAGATCAACATGCTGAAAGGGCTGAAGGAGACTCTAGTTCCTGTCGCCCCACTGCCCTCTGACGTGCTGAGGACCTCAGCTCAGCACCATGAGGGGTAAGAGCAACTCGCCTTTTAAGGAAGGAAACACCAAGCATAGTTCACTGAACTACAAGAACAGGACAAACCAGTTTCCAGGCTTTGGCCTTGAAAACTCACATCATGCCAGTTTTACTTGTATTACTAAAATCTAGCACTCCCTGGGTCATCTAAAGCCATTTTTTTTTTTATTTTTATTGATGTCATAATTGTTTATAACATTGTGAGATTCCAGTTGTACATTATTACTTGTCAATCACCATATAAATGCGCCCCTTCACCCCTTGTGCCCACCCCCCAACTCCTTTCCCCCTGGTAACCACCAAACTGTTCTGTCTGTGTCTTAGTTTATATTCCACATATGAGAGAGGTCATACAGTATTGGTCTTTCTCTGTCTTAAAGCCATTTATTTAGGATAGAAATCTATGCTAAGCTAATCTGAAACTGAAGAATCTTAGCTAATGCTGTTTACTCTATGTCAAGCACTGTGGTAGCCCCTTACATGTATTAACTAACTTAACATCCAACAGTATTATGAAATGGGAACTCTTATTATTCTCTACTTACAGTTAAGTAAACAAAGGCATAGAGCGGTTACATAACTTGGCTAAGGTTACAAACCATCATGCAGCAAAGCCCAGACTGAACATTCAGCAGGGCTCTCGAGCCCAACTCACATCAGGCCTCTCAACATGACCAATTTATCCAACAACAGACTGATCCCAACAGCAGCAGCAGACGAGGCCACATGCGACGGGCCAAGAAGGCTCCGAGTAAAATCTTGTCCAAAAGGCAGTTACTAATTTATTCACCTTGTGAGGATGACTTACAATGTGCCATTTAAGTGTGAGAGGGGGAAAACAGAAGAGACAGTTGTAATAACAACAGCTACATTCTCTTCTTAAAATGTTTTCTAGGGCCAGCCCTGTGGCGTAGCGGTTAAGTGCACACGCTCCACTGCTGGCGGCCGGGGTTCGGATCCCAGGCACGCACCGATGCACCCCTTGTCAGGCCATGCTGTGGCAGTGTCCCATATAAAGTAGAGGAAGATGGGCACGGATGTTAGCCCAGGGCCAGTCTTCTTCAGCAAAGAGGAGGAGTGGCATGGATGTTAGCTCAGAGCTGACCTTCCTCACCAAAAAGAGGAAAAAAAAAGAAAGTTTTCTAGGCTTCCTCGATTGTTTTTGTTTGGTTTTTTTGACATTAGGCTTAACTATCTTGGGCAGCATTGGGAAATGACAAAACTGAACCCAGCATGAGCTACAGAGATAAAGAGAGAAAGGGAGCTGGTAGTTCCAGCACCAGCAGTTTCCTGGGAACAGGGGTGGCCTGCCACCAGGATGCCTTTGGCAAAAGGCTGAGCTTGGAGCTGCCCCCATCCCACCAGAGCTGCCCTGACAGAGGCTTCACGACCCCGTGTCGGCAGCCACCCCAACCACCCACAATACCTCCCTGCTCCCTCTGTAGACCTGCCACAGTTCTCCAAAGAGGGGCAGAGTAAAGGCATTACCTTAGGGAGGAAGAGGGCAGACGAGAGCTGGAAACACAGGAAGCAGTTTTTCCAAGCACTGTTATACAGAAACACACTACAATATGACCTCAAAGCTATAATATTTCCAAAATGCTTTCTCTACTTCTAACCTTAGAAAAAATCAATTTGTACCTGATTTTTCCCTGTAAGATTTATTCCTTTCCTTCTTATGCAAAAGGAGATTACAAGAATCCTGTATTTTAAAAAAATTTTATTTTGATCCTTCCTAGAGGAATACAGATTTGAATGAAATACATTCATTCCATAAATACATTAGCAGCAAAACCTTCCCACTAGAGTTCTCTCTACTCCAGCCCAGAGCAGGAGAGCATGTCCCATCAACCATCACCTTAAGGATGTGTCTGCTTCTTGCTTCTGCTTCCTGCTGAAGGCAGGATACGCATAGGAGAGACCAGGTGAAAGACAAGATGGATGGATGCATGAACTAAGCCAGGACCCTGAAAACACACCCACGTGGTGACCATTAAGCCTTCTACACCTTCCAAATCCTTTGGCATCCACCATGCTTGACTGATGAGGTCCTTCACAACAGGCAACTGGGGAGGTCTAACCTTGCAAATGCCATCAACATGGCTGCAGCCATTTGTCATTCTGACTTGGCGACACTTTAATGGTGTCTCTTCCTTTCATAGGGTAAGCCAGATATAAAGGATCATTCCCTCCTTCTTTGCACAGGCCGAGGTACCACTTTGCCAGCTGCGTCCACATGTGCTTGTTGTCTGATAATCCAGCAGGCATTATTTGGCTCGCTGCACCTCCAGGTCCACTTTGTCAAGGGCTGGAGGCTTTATTGGAGACAGAGACATGTCTAAACTTACAAAGATCTCTAAATAATAATAACCAGGTGACTCACCCTGTCTTCCGTCAAAGCCGGTTTCTTGGACAGCGGCCCCTGAGTCTCTCCTTTTCTTCTCTCCATCACTGCCCATTGCCTGGCTGCTCCTTTTTTATCCGCCCTCTAGGCACCTGCTGAAATTTTGGGAAGATCTACCCTCAACTCCCAAAGAGCCAGGAGAGATTAAGGCAGGTAGGGCTCTAAACTTGTTAGCTGCAGAGTAACGAACTTACACTGCCGTGTCCCAACATGTTCTGGGATGAGTGTAAGTCATCGTAGTCTGCATAAAACCAAACACCAGAACCACAACTGGCAATCAGGATGACTGAGGCAGGGACCTAGCTTAGAGTGCTACCAAGTCATGGGGCTGGGAGGAAGAGAATAATGGAAGAACTTAAAACAAATCTGATTTGTTTGGGCAGCGGGCAGCTTCGACTCAGACATAACTGCATCGCTCAGATTATCATTTAAACAAAGAACAGACTTCAAAAGTTGACACTTTCCTCCCCATACATGACTGAAAAATAGGACACATGCTCTCTTTCCCTAATCTGTTTAAAGTGTTTTCATTAGGATACTCCTCTGTAAGTGCTTTATCCATTCCCCTTCAGTCTCTTTTGTCTGCTGGCTGGAAGGACATCACAAACCATTTTATATAAAAACCATTGTAGTGGATAATTGGTTATGTGTGTTTTTCCCTTTTGCATTTTCCATCTGAAATAGTTGGCTTTTCTTTTATTTATGTGCAGAGAGGGACTCATCTGCTGAATACACAGCACTGTTAATCCGACAGTCTTCTGTCCCCACAGAGTCTGCTAGTTCTTCCTCCTCTGAGTCCTCCTCGTCTTCCTCCTCTTGTGCTGAGGAACTGGAGGTGGGCCCTTTGCAGGTTTTCAGGTGGCGGGTGAGATGATATTTGGTTAGGTAAGCCTTTGTACATTTTTCACAGACATAATCCCGTTTTCCTTCATGTGAATTGAGATGTTTCTTTAAGTGATTTGTTCTCAAGAACAGCTTATCACATTTGGGACACTTGATCTGGCGTTCTCTAAGAGGAACACAAGAAAAAACATTTGATTTGGGATTACAAATGACAACTGAGGCAAACATTTATTCTTCACAACCTCAGGCCTTTGTCATAGAAGCTCTACCCAGCTAGAACCAGACTGTTTTATATGAGATATATCATACGGAAGAGTCATAAAACATTTGTAGTTTAAACAGCATAGATTGATTTTGCCTGTTTTGGAATTCGACATAAATGAGATCATTCTGGACATATCTCTTGCGTTTTGCTTCTTTTACCCAACATTTGTAAAAATCATTCAAGTTGCTGTGAATATCAGTAGTTTGTTCCCTTCCATTGCTCTATGCTACTCACAAATACACCACAATTCACCTGTGGTACTGGATTTGTCTATTGTTAACAGATATTTTGGTGGTGTCCAGTTCTTTATTATCACAGGCAAGACTGCTATGAAGACTGCTATGAACATTTCTATACTGGTCCGGTGGTTTGCATATGCATGAGTTTCTCTAGGGCATATGCTCAGGAACAGTACAGTTGACTCAAAAGATATGCACATCTTCACCTAGATAAGACTAAACTATTTTCCAATGTGGTTGTTATCAATATACACAGGCATCAACAGCCATTTACAAGTTCCTGTTGCCCTCACTCTAACAATGGAAGACTGAAATTTGAAAATTTTTGCCAAGTGGCTAGTACATAATATCTCACTATGGTGTAATGGTAGCCCCTACAACAAAAAATTTTCCAGCTTAAAAGGTCAGTAGTATCAAGGCTTGAGTAACCCTGGCCTAGACATTTGAGAGCTGAAAAGAACCTGAGAGATCATTTAGACCAGGAATTTTTAAACTTTTTTTTTGAGCAGTTGAACCCTATGTCTTAATGCAAGTTCAATACATGTAACATAAAAGGGGGTTAAAATCCTTGAAGAAGTGGGAGGGTGCAGCGGGAAGTTCTGAAGTCTGGCCTCCTTAGCATTTCCACTACCTTCTCTCAGAAGATGACACTGAAGGACTCCATGGAGTGACAGGATGTGGAAAACTGAGTCCCTGCCTTCAAGGTGCTTACCTGCTAGTGGAGGAGTTACACGACAAATAAGTTAAAAAAAATATAATGTGATATCAGACAGTAATAAGTACTATGGAAAAAAATGAAGCCAGGTAAGAGTGATGGAGTCCTATTTTAGATAAGATAGTCAAGGAAGGCCATTCTGAGGAGACGATGACATTCGAGCAGAAACCTTAATGAAGCGAGGGAGGAAGACAGGGAGATATCTAGCGGGAGAAGTTTCTAGGCAGAGGCAGTACAGTGCAAAGGCCCTGAGACTGGACTGTGTTTAGTATGCTGAAGTAGTAGCAAGGGGAGGGCCAAGGGGACTAAAGCAGAATATGAGGAGAAAAGTAATAAAAGATGAAGTTGGAGAGGTAGCCAAGTAGCACTACCACATCATAAAGGGACTTCTAGGCTATGCTAAGACCTTTAACCCAAGTTGCTGGGAAGCACTGGAGATTTATGAGCAGAGATGGGCACAATCTGACTTAAGTTTTAAACGGATCACTCTGGCCACTGTGGACAGAATACAGTGTTCGTGTGTGTGCACCTGTGTGTTTATCTGTGTTGGGGAATGGATGAGAAGAGTAGAAACAAGGAGGTCAGCGGCAAGACTACTGAAGTGGTTCACACGAAAGATGCTGGTGGTCTGGACTAGGTGAGAGTTGAAAGAGGAAAAGAATGGAAAGGGGCTGGCCCAGTGGCATAGTGGTTAAATTTGGGAGCTTCGCTTCAGCGGCCCAGGGTTCGCAGGTTTGGATCCCGGGGCGCGGACCGCTGCACTGCTCATCAAGCCATGCTGTGGCGGCATCCCACATACAAAATAGAGGAAGATGGGCACAGACATTAGTTTAGAGCCCATCTTCCTCAGCAAAAAGAGGAAGATTGGCAACAGATGTTAGTTCAGGGCCAATCTTTCTCACCAAAAAGAGAAAAGAATGGAAGACTGAGTTAAGGATGACTCCAAGGCATTTGGCTTGAGCCACTGGGATGAATAATGATGGTGCCATTTACAGAGCTGGTGAACACTGGGGGAAAATCAAGTGTGTACAGGTAACATTAAGAGATGACTTTTAGACATATCAGGTTTGAGTTGCCAAATGGACATCCAGAACTCAGGGATGCTGAGTGAATGGTTAGCTCTGTGAGGCTGGAGAGATAAATCATAAAGACGGTATCTACAGCCATGGGACTAAGGTGATAACCTAGGGAGCAAGTGTCACTGTTCTTGCTCTCAAGTTCCTCTTTCTTAGAGGAAGGGCAAAGCCAGTTTCTGCCACATGCCTTACACCCTCAGGGGAACACTGTAGGAGAGGAACAACTCCATTTGGTTTTAGGGCTAGAGCTGTTCTCTTTTCTAAGCAGATAAACAGAATGAATTCCAATACTACTATAACCACTTTGAAATGCCTAAGTAAAAATACAAACATCTGAAAATTTTACCAATGATCTCTGTAAGAAGCCTAAAGTCTCATTCAAAAACATTTTGACTGAATAGCGCTTCTTTTATGAATGACTTACACTAGCTTAAAGTCTCGACAGTCCAAAAACTTCTTTCTATCCCAGGGGAGTTTGGCAAAAAGGCTTATAATATTTCATCCTGACAAAGAGTCCCGATCCACATTTAAGAGAAGTGTTTTCATTGGCTGATACCCGAGAAAGCCAATTCTCAACCCAAATAGAGAGAAACAGTTTTAAAACTAATCTCAAAACAATTTATATGGCATTATGCTGTGAAATGTCTACAAAAAAAGCAAGTAAAAATTTAGGCATCACTTGAAAGAACAGAAAGTCAAGGTCAAGGAAGAGAATAACTCCACTTTATTATACACTGAACAGATCATATCTGAACACTGTGTTCTCTTCTGGGTACCAAATTTGCAACTAGGTATTAAGAGGAAAAGTTGCAGAAATTAGGGACATTTGTTTTGAGGAAGAGGGTTTAAAAGGAACCTGACAGTGATCATAAGCATGAAAGGCTGTCAATTTAAAGAAATATTAAACATAGGTGTATCATTCCAGAGGACAGATGTAGAAACGAATGGAGAGAAGTTTGATTCAAGCAAAACTTCTCAAAACTAAATTGTGGGGCCGGCCCGGTGGCGCAAGCAGTTAAGCGCGCGCGCTCCACTGCGGCGGCCCAGGGTTCGCCGGTTTGGATCCCGGTTGCGCACCGACGCACTGCTTGCCAGGCCATGCTGTAGTGGCGTCCCATATAAAGTGGAGGAAGATGGGCACGGATATTAGCCCAGGGCCAGTCTTCCTCACCAAAAAGAGGAGGATTGGCAGATGTTAGCTCAGGGCCGATCTTCCTCATACGTACAAAAAAAAAAAAAACTAAATTGTGTGGTATTCAAGAAGAAACAACGTAAGCACTTGCCAGAGATATTGTGGGAACAAGTCTATTGTTTGGATGAACTCAGTAGCTCACAACTCTGGCTGGACATAAGAGTCACCTGGGGAGATTTTTAAAAATACTGTACCCAGGTCAGGGCTCTCCCTGACCAATTAGAATCCCTGCAGGTGGTGCCTTGGCACCAACTGTTGTTTTTCACATTGCCCAGGTGATTCTTACGAGCAGTGTAAGAAACTGAATATTTGTGGCTCCCCCAACTCCTACGTTGAAGCCCTAACCTGCAATGTGATGGCATCTGGAGGGGGGTGCCTAGGGGAGGTAACTAGGTTTAGGTGAGGTCATGAGGGTGGGACCCCCATGATGGAATTAGTGTCCTGTAAGAAGAGCAAGAGAGACCAGAGCTTGTTTGCTCTCTCCGCTACATGAGGACCCAGCAAGAAGGCAGCCACCTGCAAGCCAGGAAGAGGCCTCATCAGAACTCACCACTTGGGCACCCTGATCTCCGACTTCCAGCCTCCAGAAGTCTAAGAAAATAAACATCTGTCGTTTAAGCCACCCAGTCGATGGTGTTTTGTTACGGCAGCTCCAGCTGACTAATACAAGCAGCTAGACTAAAGGATCCCAGAGTTCTCTTTCAACTCTAACACTGTAAAATCCTATGTAATATTTGATAATTATTGTGTCTAATTTCTAAAATTTCACACTAATAACAAAACTATTTAATGAAGACTGTTGTAAAAAGAGACTTTGAGAGTCAGGAATGCAGATCCAGACTCCTTGGATGTTTTTAGTGTTTCAGATGGCACTGTGATTAGGAACTGGACAAAAGAGTTGATATCAAAGCAAAGTACTTATCTAAACTCTACAATAAGAATATAAAGTTTCCAATGAAGATGAAATTCTAAAGAGTACCTCTAGAATATGAGCTAATGTTTTCTCCCTCTTCTAATGCTTGCTAGAAGCTAAGGACCACAAAATCTGTTCTCTTCTCTCTCCCACTACTGTGATTAACACAGGCTAGGCATTTAATTGCACTTAAATTAATGCAATAAATTCCTAATGGGTCTCCCAATGTTTGGCCTTCTCCTCCTTCAATCATCCTGTCCTGCTGCCAGAGTAATCTTTATAAAATGGACACCTCACCATAACATTCTTTTCCTTAAAATCCTTCAATGCTTGTACAACAATGTGAATATACTTAACATTACTGAACTATATACTTAAATAATAAATTAAGTACACGGTAATAAATTTTATGTGTTTTTTACTACAATTAAAACACACACAAAGCACAGAACAGTGCCTGGTACATGGGGAGGAAAAATCCTTCTATGGTTCCCATTATTTCCAAAATGAAATTTAATTTTCTTAGTTGGATAAAAGGCTCTTCGTGACCTGGCTGCCGCCCCTCTCCCATTGCTCTCTCACACGCACACTACGCTCTACCTATAAAGAACTACTTGCATTCCATAGTCCTTTTTGCATCTGTGTTTCTAAAGGTGCCATTCCCTCTGTCTAGAATACTCTCCCCATCCCTTACCTTTCTTTGCTTCCCCGAATAATTATAATTTATCTTCTTTAATGCTTAAACTACCAGAAAGCTTTCCCAGGACACCTCCAGGCTGGTTAGGTGACCCTCTTCTGTGGTCTCTCAGGATCCAATGCTTACTCTAACAACTGCATCACAGTATGGTAAACATCTACTGGTGTGTTTCTCTTACTGGACTTTGAGCTCTTCAAAGACAAGGAACTGCGTCTTTCATTTCTGTATGTTCACCACTTAGCACAACGCTAGGCTTCAAGGAGGTATTTAAAAATATATTTGTTAAATAAATGAGATTATGTTTTGAAATATGAATAAAATACAAAGAGTGGACGTGAAAAATAAAGCAAACAAGTGAAATCTTCCAGGACAAACAGAAACTTAGTTTTCCGACCTTTACGTGGCTAAGTGGAACACAGGAGGCATCCACCAGGGTGCCAAGGCAGGAGACGACGACGAGTGGAGTCGTCTGCAGCCACACAACGGTCCACCACCTGAGGAGCATCCTGGCTGCGGGCTAACTTACTGTGTGTGGATGAGCACGTGCTGCTTGAGGTCCTGCCTCCGCATAAACAGCTTGTCACAGTAATCACACTTGAGATTCTTCTCACCCGTGTGGATAACCATGTGGGACTCCAGGTGAGCCTTCTGGGTGAAAGACTTGTCACACAAAGTACACCTGTAGTTCTTCTGACCTGCACATTAACCCAAATTACCACACTGTGAATACAACCACCACTAGCACTCTCAAGAAGAACAGGCACAGGTACGGGTGTGCGGCAGAGGCAGGAATAAAAGGGACCTGACTGGTAACTGGCACTTCTCTTTCTCGGGCTGTCCCCCTAGAACCACTCAGAGCCACTGAATTCATATTCTGCAACTAAAGCTGGTGGAGCTAACAAATCTGACCTCCTTCTAGGACTGCTTACCTAAATACACATTTTTTTTTAATGTTCATAGCTAACACACGATATAGAATCTGGAAAAAAAACCCACTTATAATTCTAGCACCCAACCTAACTCAGTTATTGAAAATAAAACCTCGTGAATTCTAGTACTTGTCTACAGGCAAACATTTCTACAACTTATATATATATATTTCATAGTTTTCTCTCTCCTTTTTAAACATAGAAAATGACTTCATAAACCAGGGATGAAATAAAAATCTTAAGAATGCAGAAATAAGATTAGTCTAAGTCAGGGGTTGGCAAACCTTTTCTTAAAGGCTAGTCAGTACTTTAAGCTTTCCGGGCCATACAGTCTCTGTCACGACTACTATCTTAATGCAAAAGGATGAGGAAGAATTTTACTTTCAAAGATCTCCCAAATGACCCAGTCAAGAAAGCTAAAATTTCATCAGTTGTTTTGCAGTTCTGTATGAAAAAAATAAGTGCTAAAAGGAAGGTTGGTTTGCATGGAGTTTAGAAAACAGAAACTCAAAAAACAAATTTTGGTACTATTTATTGAGCAACATTCAAAGGAGAGAAATTGGCTCTGGCCAGTGACCAGGGGTGAGCTCTAAGGGCAGGCTCAGGCTGTTTCTATAGAACTCCCCTTGCTTTAAGTCAAACATGGATTAACTTCCCAATTATTAACTGCATTTTCCCAGTCACCTTCAAACTACAGCGGGGACACCTAGAAAGTGGAGCATCTTAATAACCAGAAGTAACACTCTCTGAGGAAGTACAAATACCCACCAAGATGTATCACCCGATGAATTCTGCTGACAGCCAGCTGGACTCGTTCTCTAACGTCTTATCTCAACTCTACCTGCAAGACTATCTCACTGCAAGGCCTTTCACAATTTCTAATTGCTGCAAAATCCCATTTTGATGGTCGGATACAACTTACCTGTATGTATCTTGAGGTGAGTCCGCAGGTTGCTGGGATCACTAAAAGCCTTGCTACAGAAATCACATTTGTGGGGCTTCATACCCATGTGCCCCATGAAGTGGACATGAAGTTTGGAAGGAGAGATAAAAGCTTGGGGGCACATTGAGCACTTCCACTTCCTTTCTTTGCTGTGGCTGGGCCCATGGCTGCTGCTGTGGCCCTGGGTAGGAAGATGGTTATGGATGTGGCTGGTCAGGTGGGCTTTGAACTCTGCATAGGAATTGCATTCCTTGCCACAGTTACAGAGGTGCACATCTGGGTGTTCGGGAACACCTTAAAAAAAAAAATTACTCAAAATCTCCTGACACTTAAATTTTAAAACTTGCTCTTGATATTAATAATTGTTGCTTACAATTCTCCCTCCTACCAAAATTTCCAGCTTGCCCACTACCTGTAACACTAAAATGTCTTGTTCAATGCTCTAGTCCCAGCATCTAAAATAGTGTGCCGGGCACAGAGGAAGCACCTGGTAAATACTGGATTATACGGCATCTTTCCTAGGCAAAAAGCTTTAAAATGCTGTAGCACACACAAACTCTTAAACATCACTTGTCATCATGACACACACAACGCAAAGAAAAAGCCCATGAAGGTTAAATCAATTCAAAGAGCTTTGCTATCCTTTATGAACTTAAATTACAATTGTACTGGCTCAAAAAGTAGCCTCAGGAACTTCAAATTCCCCAAATCAAAGTCCTAACACAAAGGTTTATTTCATATGAATCCTGCTTGGTCAATAACCTTCAGCTTGTGAAGAACCTCACAGATTTTAACAGTTCTAACATAGGAGTAACATCCTGCTTTTATACATACAAAGGTATGCGATACGCCTCAGCTGACATGTAAATCATTACCAAAGCTTTACTTCTGGTCCTCAGTGCTTTTACTATGCTACATTCATGACAAACAAGTCTTACGTTAACTTACCAATCTGCTGAGCATAATCTCGACTATAGTAAAAAAGCAGCTCGTTTTCAGGAGGAATATCTTGTGAGGTGCAGAAATAGATTTTTCCATCATGGGGATAAGCCACCAAATTCTGCTCCTCCCGGTTCCTAAGTTATCACATTTAATAGATAAAGCATACTAATTTTGAAATATACACTAAATACATCATACCCCTATACCAAAATCCTATACGAAAACTTAGATATAATATATAATATATATTAACTATATAATATAATATAATATAATATAATATAATATAATATAATATAATATAACTATTTCTCTGGGTCACTTTTCTAATTCCCTAACCTACCCATTAGGAGGGACTTATATAGAAAAAGAATTCTTACTTCAGTACATCAGATTGCCCTTTATAGTCGGAAACACTAAAGTATGTTACTGGAAGCAAGACAAGTAAATAAAATGAAGTCTCAACAAAACAATATGACAGAGACACAGAGATAGACGGCCGAACTACAACAGCCTGTGGGGCTGACTAATAGCCAATAAGAAGAGAAGGTACCCACTTGCGAATTCAATGGTGACTGTATCATTCCTTATTACAGTGGCAAGTTGAATAAACTGTTCATTAACAAAGGATAGTTTCTTATGTTCTGATTCATAATCACCATTAGTCAACAACTATTGGAATGAAGAAAGTGAAAAGCCTTAGGCCTTAAAGTATGTGCAGATACCAGTGTAATTTGGATTCTTTGGCTCTTCCCTATTTTATGGAAAGCTTCCTATCGAAAGATGTCTGAATCGTAACCATTGTATCTAAGACTACTCTTACCTAGCCTTGCGCACAAACATCATCCAATTACATTCATTTTCGTCAGCTGTAATGATGCAGAATTCAAGGACACCGTTGTGGTATATCTGCCAAGAGAAGGCAAACATGTATGTCAAATGAACTGACAAGCGATACAAAGTGCCCCTAAATTTAGGCTAGCAATAGCCTATTGACTCTGCAGGAAGTACCAGCTTTCCCAGTCAGTGTGAAAACCCAGGGTTGCCTTCTCACATGTTTGATATCTCACCAGTCCCCCTATTTCTGGCAATATTTCTGGCAATATAATAAAGACCATCAGAGACCTACAGTTAGTGCTCAGTGTACAAAATGACATTGCTCTTGATTATTCACATTTTGGCTTGACTGGAAAAGACAAAAAAAAAAAAAAAAAAACAGTCTACTTGTCTTCATCACCCACCACATTACCGTAGCACTGAATGACTCAACTGACATGAAGATCAGAGAACCATCTCTTCTCATTATTTTTCCAAGGGACCTAGCCTTCTTCTATGTTCTTTTGGATACCAAAATTAAAGTCCCCAATGCCAGTGGCACCTTACCTTTCCAGTTATCACAAGACCCACTTTCCTCTCACTTCAATTTTGGAAGTATCATTCCCAAGCTATTGACTACCACTCTATAAAAAAATGTTATAGGAATAGCTGTTTATGTCAAAACCTTGTGTTTCTAGCCCCTCTCATTAGAAAACTAGAGAAATAATCTTAGCTTCTAATGCCAGAATTGTTTCCCAATCTAAATATTTGAGGGATGTTTTAGTTGATTACAAAATAAGCCTTTCATCATATAAACAAAGTCCATGGCCTGAGCTGCCACAAGTAATTAAAAGGAAGAATCTTTGGGTTATCTAACAGGATGAAGAATAAAATAGTTTATCTTCTATATTCAACAGCTGGTGTTTTGCTATGTATTATAACTTGTCTACCAAGAACAGAAAGGATATGATATTAAATAAATAACTGACGAGTGAATGACACTGTGTGAGTCCTGGCTAATTTTGAGTTTTATATTGCTTTTAACTATCTCATTATAATAACATCCAAAAGCCACAGAAAAGTTTCACAAACACTGACCTTCCAGATATGGTTAACTTCCTTGTCTGTCCATTCTGCTACTTCCATGGAGTGACTCTGCTGGCCAATGAGAGGCCCAAAGCAAGTCCGCACAGGAATGGTTTCTCCAGCCCACACACCTAGCAGTGGAAGGACACCAACTACACAATGAGTGACTGATTTAAACATCTAACAGGATAGAGAAGAAAGAGTAGCTTAACTCATGCAAAGAATCTTATTTTCAGTGAACCGAAGAACTACTGATATTCCAGCACTCCTGACAGGTAGCTAAGTTTTATGGCTTCTATCCTGCAAATATGGAAAATGTAATGAACAAATTAAATGGGGCTCAGAAGAAAATGCACAGTAAGATGCAGTATCAAATTTCTGAACCCAGTTTTACACACAAGGAACCAAACCTTGTCCCTGCAAATGTTATTTTGGAGTTAATACATAAAAAAGACTAGAGAATATTATTCTATTATAAAAATATAAAGCAATTACTACAAAATAAATCAAACTTCTAAAATCGTTTGTACTTAAAGTACTGCTCTATATCATCTAAGCTGTTCAATGCTTTCAATTGACTCATGCCCAAGCTACAGCTGAAAGAATTATAAACCTAGATTCATATTTTCAAAGAAATGGCACAATAATTCACAAACCATGTTAAATTCAAATATGGGTAAGCATACTCTGGCAGTCTACATTCCTTTTTCCTAAGAAGTATTAGCCACTTTACAAACATTTTATCTAAACATTTTTTGTGATAAATGGTTATCAGTGGTGAATTTTTCATGTTTCTATAAAAGAAACTAAGTTTCAAGGAGTGTTTTCTCATGATAACTGTTAGTGGATGATACAGCTGAGAATAAAGTCAAGTCTTCTAAGACTCAGGCCAGGCATCTCTTCTCTACTCAGTTCTGATTCTAAGAAAGAGGAACTTTCCCAATAAAGTTTTCAACTTGACTTATTGCTATCACCACTGAACAAGACAAGTATTCCCTAAAAAGATAACTCTTAGGCCATAAATTGACTTTTGGATCAACCAAATAATCACTAAATTATACACATCCACTTTTACAGCTCCATCTCACAAAAGAAGAAGAGATTTGATGGGGTTTTATGGTTTCAAGGTTCTTACCAACTTCTGCTCCCACAATTGACTGGCGGAGAACAAGCTGCTTTGGGAGAGAAAGCCTCGCTCTGCTATCTATTGGAGTGTCAGGAATAAAAGTCACTGGTCCGTGATCGGGGCAGTCTGAAGGATAGGCTCGGTCACAGAGAGTGCACCCTGTAGATGGACAATCGAGAAATACAAACGGTTTTAGTTCAAGCAGTCTGAATTACCACCTGCTTTTTTATTTAAATGCTAATTACTAAAATGTAAAGAAGCAAGGTTCCAGTAGAAATAGTCTGATCAAAAAACCACTTTCTTACACTAAAATATATATCCTCTCTTATACCTCTCTTCAGCAAGATTTGAATTTTTTCTTTTTATCCAACAGGACAAGCTTCCTATTCAGTGCATAAGAGAAAGACTGATCAAAAAATAATATTATGTTACCTTACGAATCAAGTACATTATTCCTTATATTAGGTAGATAAGCAATACCTTTAGATATGATGTTCTAAAATCCAAAATTTTTCAATTCTACCAAACTGTAAGAGGAAACTGAGTTGAAATGCTGTTAGTCATGGAAAGCCAAAACAGAGATGACACGACAGGACAACAGAGTCAGAGCCAGTTGCACCACTATTCTCTTTTGTTTCACTGTAGACAAGCTAGTCAACCAGATTTTGATGACAAACTCTTAAGACAAAAAAAAAAATTGCCTTTGGGACAGCAGGTAGAATCACATTCTTGCAGACATATTTGCTTAAAATTCTTAATTTCTTATTGTTCATATGGTCTTTTTGCATTGTCAGAGGTTACTGCCTTCATATACTGTTCTCTATGCTTACAGTAACTTCACTTTTACAAGCTTATGAGTGTCCTTCTTCTCCATAAATATTTTGCTCTATTCTTTTACTTTCCTTTCTCTCTGTTAAGGAATTGTATTCGTGATCCTATTAGTGAATAGTTGAGTTCAAAATTTCCCATTCACAAAATAGACGGAATGCGTAAACCTTACAATCACAGCTATCCCAGTGTCTTTTGGCCAATAAGTACATGTAAAGACATTCAACATCATTAGTCATTAGAGGAATGCAAATAAAAAGCACAGTGAGATGCTACTTCACACCCACTAGGATGGCTATAATAAAAAAGAAAGAAAATAAGTGTTGGCAAAGATGCAGAGAAACCAAAACTTTCATACACTGATATTGGGAATGTAAAATAGCACAGCCACTTTGGGAAAGTTTGGCAATTCCTCAAAAAGTTAAACATAGAGTAACCCCACTCCTAGATATATATCCAAGCGAATTTAAAGCATATGTTCATACAAAAACTTGTACATGAATGGTCACAGCAGCATTATTTATAATAGCCAAAAAGTAGAAACAATTCAAATGTCCATAAATGATAAACAGATAAACAAAATGTAGTATATCCATACAGTGGAATATTATTCAGCCATAAAAAGGAATGAAGTGGGCCAGCCCCGTGGCTTAGTGGTTAAGCGCACGCGCTCTGCTACTGGCAGCCCAGGATCAGATCCCGGGTGCACATCGACGCACCGCTTCTCTGGCCATGCTGAGGCCATGTCCCACATAGAGCAACTAGAAGGATGTACAACTATCTACTGGGGCTTTGGGGAAAAAAAAGGAGGAGGATTGGCAATAGATGTTAGCTCAGAGCCGGTCTTCCTCAGCAAAAAGAGGAGGATTAGCATGGATGTTAGCTCAGGGTTGATCTTCCTCACAAAAAAAAAAAAAAGGAATGAAGTACTGATACATGCTACAACATGGATGAGCCATGACAACATTATGCTAAGTGAAAGAAGCCAAACACAGAAAGCCACATATTGTATGATTCCATTTACATGAAATGTCCAGAATAGGTGAATTCATAGAGATAGAAAGTAGATTAGTGGTTGTCTGAGCATGGTAGGAAGGGAGGGAAACATGAGTGACTGCTAATGAGGTTTCTTTATGGAGTGATAAAATAAATTTTAGAATTAGATAGTGGTGATGGTTGCACAACCTTGTCAATATCCTAAAAACCACTAAATTGTACACTTTAAGGTATATATGTGAACATCTCATTTTTCAAAAAACACACTTAGAAGCAAGATGTTCTGCTTGTGCACTTAAAAAAGGATCAACAGGCTTATTTAGGCCTCTTCTGCTAAATTAATGATCCTATATTAATTACATTCCTAAATTAAAATATTTGAAAATTACAAATTTGAGACTTCAGAAGGTCTTCCCACTGCTTGGCTTCTGCAGCACCAGAAGCTTCCTCCAACTTTCCTGACCCTCCTGTTCAGTCTACTTCAGAAACTCTTCCTCTACTGCTGTATCTTAATATCCCTAGCCCTCCTGTCATTCCGCTCTTACTAGGAGATAATTTCACCCCCACTTCCATGGCCATAATTAACATATTAACGCTGAGGATCTCTAAATATTTCCAGACAGATAGATCTCTGAGGTCCAGATTCAACTTCTCATTAGAGATCCCTACTGCATATCTCACAGACAGTACAATCAACATGTCTAAAACTGGACTCACCATCACTCCTCAAAAGAATCATCTACTCCTCTTCCACCATTCATTATCCTAAGGAATGGAACCACTACACCTAGTTTCCCATGCCAGAAACCAAGGTTTTTTCCTTAACCCTTCCCTCCCCTAAAACAAGCTCTACTAAGCTCTTGGTAAATATCTTCCACTTTTTCTCATCCTTATTATCTCTACTCTAGGTTGGAAAATCATCACGTTCACTTAAATCACGGCATCATCTTCCCTACCTGTCTACTCACCTCTAACAAACCAGTTATCCTTACGTTACAGCAGAATGCTCCACCCCAGCTCTCACTCCTTAACACCCTTGCCCGGTCTTAGAGGCCCTTTGTTTGGGCTCCGATGTCCCTCTCATCACGCACCCCTCATTTTATGCTTTAGCGATTCTGAACCACTCACGATTCTTGTAGTTCTAGGCACTCATGGGTGCCAGTTCCTGTCTGGGACATTGTTCTTCCTGATTCTTAACTGCCAACATCTTTCCTGATCTTGAGGTCTGTGCTAAGATGTATGCTGCCTCCCCTGGTAAGTCTTCCCTGCCCCTTTCATGCTCTGGTTAGATGCTCTGTCTCAGGCTCCTTCAGCACCTTGCACTTAATCCCATCTTCACACTTTTCATACCATACTGCAACAGCCTGTTTACTTGCCTATGCTTCCCATCAGGCTGTAAGCTCCTTAAAGGCATGCGCTACCTCTTACAGGCCGTCTTCTCCCCAGCACCTAGCGCAGAGGCTGGCATATACAGAGTAAGCACTCAACACGTTCACCGCATGAATGAAGCATGCAGAGACATCAACAAATTGACTGTTTTTATATTGCTTTTTGTTATTATTGCCCCCCAAAAAGAACTTTTACATGCCCAACTATGGTAATTTATATGCCTTCTATCCACCCACATTTCTCCAAGGGGGTAAAAAAGTACACATGATCTAATGAAGTTTGTCTTATGTTGAAAAAGCACAAGACTTGTCACACAAAAGACCTTACTGAAGTTTACTCCTATAATTAACTATTTGTGAAACCTTGGGAAATACCTTAAATACTATTGGGCTAAGCTTATCTGAAAAATACAGAAATGACTGTTTCCTTACTTCAGGAGAACGCTGTGAGAACCAATGAAATGTTTCTATATCATTTGGCTTACCTGAGGAAAAAGCACCACATCAATATAAAGGATAATACAAAGGCAAAGAAAAGTCCAAAGGCTAGTTACTTTCTATACTCCCTTAATCCAACACCTGACTTTGTGACTAAGCCTATTAGGGATGATGGCCCTTTCTACCAATATTTCCAAAAGAAAAAGGCTAAGCACACTCACAAATTGTAAACAAGGTTGCCATATTTTCCTTGTTTGAATTGGAGTCTTCCATTTGCAGTGAAGGTGGTACAAAAGAAAGACTGTCTGAAGATACATCTACATGACCTGTCCCCATAGCAACCTCCTGGGTGATGGAGGAGACAGCCACAGGTTCTAGGCTTAGGCCAACTTCATGGAGGGAAACAGATTCTAGGGAGGCGAGGTTGTGTGAGGTAGAGAGTGCCACGCTTACAGAGTTGGTGCTCATGGCCACGGTGTGGATGGAGTCACTGAGGGCACTGTCAGACATCCCGTTGACCCGACTTGCAATGTGGTCTGTCTCCATGACCACAGGGAGCTCCAGGCCATTCCCATGAATGGGTATCACACCACCATGTCCTACAGTGTCTGCTGCAAGGTTGTTGCTCACAGAATCCACAGACAGAGGTTCATGACTTCTGGAGCCATTTGGGATTTGGGAATGCTCGCCTGCAACACCGTCCATTGTAAGCTCTTCTGCCATTCCATCTGTCGAGATTGGGCTGGTGACCCTAGAGACGTTCTCCATAGTGATTGTTGTGTCCAAGGCCACCTCATGGCCATCACTGGGATGAAGACTCTGGGCACCATGTGTGTTCACAGAGCGAGAGTCTATCGAAACAATGCCTGGCTCTAATCCAACATTTCCATTGGACTGATAGGGATCCAGCACTGAAGGGTTATTGGTGATAGATAATGCTGTATTACTGTCAACATTTATGGAGTTGGGGTGGATGTACTGAGGAGGTGGTCTGTCAGCTAAATAAGATAAAATGCCTGAGAAAAGGAAAAGATGAGATATTAGAGACACTGTACCTTGTTAAATATAAAGAATTCCAAATGCTAGAAGCTGTTTTCCTTACAAATATAACTAAATTAAAATAATCTCCTAGTTACTTCTTTGGCTTAATCAATATATATACTTTATAGATAGCAACATACATATACCATAATTCAGCTTTTCCTGTGAAACTCAGAAATCATAAAAAATTAACTATGTTCCTTTGAAGTCACTGGAAATTAATCATTTAAATGATGCCTTTAACATACACATGGTTGGAATTCCTGAGTCCTAAGATGCTGAAATTTGCTCTCTAAGATTTAAAAGGTAAAATGATTTAAACGCAGGTCTTCCATGTGAAAAATAAAATTTAATTAAATATAATTGTTTAACTTATTAAACTATCATTATTAAAACAGAATAAAATATTGGAATACTTGTGCTTGTGAGGATGTGGTGAAATGATATTTGCTGCACTGCCAGTGGGAGTGTAAATTACTAAAACCTCTTCGAAAAGTATATATATTAAAACCTCAAAAATGTTCATACCCTCTTGCACAAGAAACTCCACTTATGGTAATCTTCCTCAAATGTATTTTGTAAATATTATACACAAAGACATTCACATAATGGTTTAAAATTGGAAAAACCAAACTGTCCGACAAGATTGATATAAGCCATGGAATATCTATTCAGTAGAACATAATGCATCATTAAAAAGGATAATTATGAAAACCATGTAGCAGTTTGGGAAAATAACTATGTAAAAATAGAGAAAAATATTAAGTGAAAAAAGTAAGACGACGGAATTGTATAGAAAGTACAGTCTTAATTATGAAAAACAGCAAAAACCTGTACACCAAAATAAAAGACAGGAAGGCAGTACACCAAAAAGATGGAAGATGGGACTAAGAATGGTTCCCCTCCCTCATTTGCTAAATTTTCTGAAATGACTATACACTACTTTTATAACAGAATAAAAATTCGATAAGCTTTAATTTATAATACACAATCACCCTGTAGCAGGACATGTGGTTGGTAGGAATTACAATTGCAGAATTATAAAAACTGAACTAAGCAGATCCTGGAGGAGAAAAGAGAAACACTGTTCATGTGCCATTAAGAAATTAAGCTTAGGGGCTGGCCCGGTGGCACAAGCAGTTAAGTGCGCACACTCTGCTGTGGCGGGCCGGGGTTCACCAGTTCAAATCCCGGGCGCGCACCGACGCACTGCTTGGCAGGCCATGCTGTGGCGGCGTCCCATATAAAGTGGAGGAAGATAGCCACGGATGTTAGCCCAGGGCCAGTCTTCCTCAGCAAAAAAAAAAAAGAGAGAAGAGGATTGGCAGATGTTAGCACAGGGCTGATCTTCCTCACAAGAAAAAAAAAACGAAATTAAGCTTAGTCAAACTGCTTTATTAATAACGTGTTATCTGTGCATTCTAAGAGGAAAAGTACATAAACAAAGATTTTTTTTCCCCACCTAGAGATTAATATCTAATAGTGACAAAGAGAAAAAAGTGTTATTCAAGTCTCGAAGAACTGAGGTTAATAGTCAGCTCTAGTCTTTCTTCTAACTTCTCAAATAACTATAATACTTACCAGGTAGAATGGTTCTGAAGTAACTGCTCTCCAGGTGGGGGTAAGGTGGTGGAGGTAGGGTGTAGTTTCTTTCAGGTAACCCACACATCACTCCTCGATCCCCAATACCCATTGGGAGCATCAGAGACAAAGCAGAAGGCAGAGAGCTCAGGGAGGGACCCAGGTTTGGAATTGCCACTGGCAGGCCTACAAAAAAAATTTTTTTTCTCAATTAAAATAAAGTAAGTACTTAAAAACATTCTCTCTAAAATCACTGGCTAAACTCTTAGGAAGGTTTCTGCATATGAGCAAAATTACCTATCCCCAGATAGGCAGTCTGTGCACACATCCACAAACAGGTCCTAAAGTTAGTTCTGAAGTTGGTTCTAAAATGCCAGGTTGATCCTCCAGTTATCTGTGTTGCTGTTAAGTGCCAACACATTTCATTACAATTAAAAACCTAGTTTAAATACAATTTATAAATTACATAGAGATAAAAAGAACAGTAAGAAAACACACCAAAGTTCACAGGAGTGGTCTCTGAGTAATGATATTACAGATTTTTTTTCATATTTTTTTACTTTATTTTCTTTTTTTTTTTTGTGAGGAAGATCAGCCCTGAGCTGTGCCAATCCTCCTCTTTTTGCTGAGGAAGACCGGCCCTGAACTAACATCTATTGCCGATCCTCCTCCTTTTTTTCCCCCTAAGCCCCAGTAGATAGTTGTACGTCCTAGTTGCACATCTTTCTAGTTGCTGTATGTGGGACGCGGCCTCAGCATGGCCAGAGAAGCGGTGCCTCCAGTAGCGGACCGCGTGCACTTAACTGCTATGCCACGGGGCCAGCCCCTATTTTCTATTTTATGTGGTGAGAATGTTTCACTTTTAAAAATTCATAGATATGCTTCTATTTGGAAAATAATCTAAAGTTAGATGTAAAACTGTACATATACACTTTCATACAGCTTTCATATATACGCTGTACTTCATGATTTAAAAAAACTTAAACCTTAGATCATATCTACCTTGGATTATATCTATCTGCAAAGTGAAGTGACTTACTGTGCCTAATTACCATAATGAAGACTCACCAATTTAGGCAGTGCTGATTTGCATTATTTTTGCCAGTGGCAATATTTTTTAATAGGCTTTTCTTCCTTAAAAAGAGTGTCCACTAAAAGGAATGCCTAAGAGATCATCAAATGGGTTAACAACTAATAAAATTTTTTAAAAATTTCGCTTGTGGACACTTAAAGGAATGTGGAGACCCTAGTTTAGATGAATCTTATTCAACTGCTGTATTTTAATAATTAAGCAAGTAATTCTCTATAGAGAACTACTTAAACAACTTATACTCTTAAACATTAACTCCTATTTTGATAAAGAAAGTCCAATATATTACAACGCAGTAGATCCTTAAGAATCACTAGCTTACCATTTTAAGAATCAATAGCTTACCTGTCTCTTATCCATTTCAATAGAAAAAGAAAATTAAAGTAGGCAGATAAAAAGGTTTTAAAAACACAGTGATGGGGGAAAATGAGCTCTTCCTATACTCTGATTCTCTACAAGTTGAGCCTCATGGGGAGTTCCATGTAGGAGCTCCATCTCTGGTACCTCCTCTTTCCCCACAATTCTAGGCCTGGCACATTGGCAGTTCCAGGTTTCAAGGTAGTAGAAAATAAAGCTCAATTTCTCATGCTTTCTGGGAATAGTTACTACAGTAACTTTGATTCTCTATTAACCCAGGGACAGAGTGCCAAGAGTATGAACCAGACGAATGGGTAATCCTAGATTAAATGCCAAGTCAGTTACAGTGCTAGACAAAAGGCCACAACCCAAGAAGTGGACTATCAGGAGAAACTGCTAATCCTGCCCGCTAGGACTCTCGGTGACTCTTTACAAAAATGTCTTCATCATTATGCCACCACACCTGGAATCGCCGTTCAGACGTGCTGGGCTTCTCTCTTCCACTCTTAAAGGGGCTCTGACCCCTCTAGGCTCCATTTAGAATCGATAAAGCAATTAACAATGAATTGCACTGTTGAATTCAGTGTCTGTCCCTTACCACTCACCTGGGGCAGGGATGGCATTGTGAGTGGGTGAGGCAGCCAACCCCAGGTGACTCCCTGAGACTGGCAAGGCATTGCTCACAGAGGATGAAGTCAGTTGCTCCATCCCCACTGGGCTCAGGTTCATCTCATTCATCCTAAGAGAGAGCATACACAACTAGTTATGCAAAAAATTACCTCAGTGACCCCATTTAAGGTACTAAAGAACTTGCAACAATAAGGGTGGGGAAATGAGACTTGACCAACTATTACTTCATTTTTTATGCTCACAGCTCTCCGAGATAGCTAGTGTCATAGTCTACTGATGGGAAACTGGGATTCAGAGACATTAACTAACTCAGTCAATGTCATAGAGCAGGAACAGGATTTAACTCAGGTGTGCCTTGTTCCAAACCCTAAGCACACCATCTAAAGCAAAGTTTGCAATCCTCAGAGCACACTAGCGATGAGGGTTTGTTTGTTTTTTTAAAATTGCCAGTTTTTTCTTTCACAATATTTATTTTCTCCAACTGCCTTATTACTTCAAACCGGGATTTTTATAGGCAGTTTGTTTTAAACTACTCAAAGAATTTTTACTAACTCTTTTACCAGGAATTAAAGGGATTCTGGGTCTGAATTAGATAATCAACGGTGTGAAGAAGCACCATTTTTCCATGGATCAGCATTTTATTAAAATTCTGTATCAATATCTTAATAATTAATAATCTTAATATCTTCCATATATTGAGATTCATTACATAAGGTTTGCTAGATACTTTATAAAAATTACTTCATATTCTCTAATTCTTCAAAATAAGGTAGATGAGAAAACCGAGACTCAAAGAGGGCATGTCATATGCCCCAAATCACACAGCGATGAAGTGGAAGCACACAGATCATGCTGCAAAATACCGCCACGAAGTTTTTCAATACACGGAACTTTTTTTTTTTTTTTGGTGAGGAAGATCAACCCTGAGCTAGCATCTGTTGCCAATCTTCCTCTTTTTGCTTGAGGAACACTGTCCCTGAGCTAACATCTGTGCCCATCTTCCTCTACTTTATATACAGGACCCCGACACAGCACGGCTTGATGAGCAATGCGTAGGTCTGTGCCTGGGATCTGAACCTGGGAACCCTGGGCTGCTGAAGTGGCGTGTGCAAACTTAACCACTACGCCACCAGGCCGCCTCGAGAACTTTTTCTCATCTACAGACCATTTTTGGCAGGCTGAAGAATCTAAGAATCACCTTTTCCATGCCATCTATCTTGCACTGCCATTAACAACATCATGAAAATAATACTGCATACCTGAAACTTACACAATTTAAAAAATGCAATACTGATCTGAACATCATTGGAGGTTGTTACCAATAAGTATTATTCCTAATATAGGAATACCCATAAGTACTCCTATATTAGAACTGAGAGACTGCCATATTATAAACATTATAATTTCAAGAAGCTGGCCAACAGGCTATCCAAAGGAAGTCACTGATGACCTCGAATCCTAACGCAAGTTGTTCTGTGTGTGCCTATGGACATGGGAGGGGTGCAGAGGAGTAGGGGGAATCAAATGGGTCTACATGCTCCTTAGCAGTGAAAACAAACCCAAATAGGTTTTTAATTCTGAAAAGTGGCAATATCAGCTATCAACCAACCTGAAAATAATAACAGCTAACACTTATTACTCCCTTACTATGCATGTCAGGCACTGGACTAAGTGATTTACATGTAATTATCCTGCCTAATCCTTATAACTACTGTGAGGTAGGCATTTTTCTTAACCCCATTTTAGAGATGAGGAAACTGAGCCTCAGAGCAGCTAAGAAACTTAACCCAAGATTACATAACTACTAAGTGGCAGAGATGGGATTTAAATCCAGGTCTGCTTAATTTAAGAAACCCAAACTCTTAACTACAATTAGAAAAAGACAATTACCATAAAAGAACCATTTTGCCTTTCGCACAGTTCCAATACATTAGGATCTGTGTATTTATATTGTGGGGTATGTTAGAAGTCCCACACAGACCTACTCCCGCATTATTCTACATCCACAGGCTTCAACTGTATCCTTCGCCAGGTATCTCATAAAACTAAGCTCCCAGACATTAATAAAGTGTACAAGGCCAATTGAGGACAGAACCTTGTACAGAGTAGGCACTAGGAATATTTATTTAATTTGGATGGAGCAATGCAATCTCATCCTTACTAGAAAGACAACTAGAAGCACATGGCAAATGAGGCACATCTTACGAAGGACAGCACACTAATAACAGTATTTAATTATGTTATAAAAGAATTCAAAAAACCCTGATAGCCTAAGAAAACCAGAGCTACCTTAATTTTGAAAGTTTCTGGGTTTGGGTTGGTTGGAAACAGACTTTTCCTGTAACTTTTTACAGCTATAAACATAACTAAACCTCTATAATCCCTGGGGCAGTAGTGACCTACAAAAAATTGGTTACAATAATTTTTTAAGTACAATTAAAAGTCTGTAGCATCAAATTCCATTCTGAAAATTCCTGAATATTAATCTGCGCACCTAATCTTGAGATAAAAATCAAAATGGTGTTTCTAGGTTGACTAGGCCTTCTCAAACCAGTTCAAACCAGAGTTTAATGTGAGCGGCTCAGCAGATTTCTGCTTTGCTGTGAGTCACTAAAATGCGATGACCTCAGCAGCTATAAACCAAAGGTAACTAGCATCCCACAGAGAGAGAGCAGATGAAGGGAATTTACAATCCGATCCCAAGACTCTCTCATTCTAAAGTGCAATTCTATTCTAACTACCTTTCTCACATGGAACTGTAGGAAGCAATCTTGGGAGAAGGGCCAGAATCAAGAGACCAAGCTAAGCTCTGTCTCTTCTTCCCTACTCATTCCTCAGAGAATCACTTCCTTCATACTTCTACACTTTGTGTGTGTTTCTAACTGACCTATGTATGAACCATTTGCCAGCTACTGATCTTATAACCTTGTCTTAGAATAACACAGAAGTAGCTAACTGAAATGCAGCCACTTTGCAAATGCAATAGACAGTTTCAGTAATTTCAATAAATTTGTTTTATCTTCCTTATCCCCAACATAACAACCTATGAAGGGCCCTAAAAGAACAGCCAAATGTAACTACTTCTTTGACTTCTGTACTGTTCTGGCATGGTACCATAAAGTACTTTAAACATTAGCACCAAGCCTGCAGGATTAAGAACTTAATTTCTCCACATTACTTTTCAAGCCAGACGGTCACCAGCAAAATTCAAGGTGAAGCACCGTGATGAGCTAAAAACACACTTTGGAATCCAGATACAGGTATTATTTAAATGCTCAAATAACTCAAAGGCATAGGATAAAGGGGTCAACGAGCCAACAATCAATGTGTGGCTCTTCGGAACAACTATTCACGTTTGGGGTAAATTAGGTTGAATGAGAGTATATTCGACCCAACACTAGTTTCTGGAGGTCTTGCTCCCTTTGGGACACAAATCCATTTGGAAATCGCACCTGTAACCTTCCCAATGGCACCCAAAACAAACGCAATCTGAACTCTCATTTGCCAGATGTTTTCCAAAGACGTCACCAGCGCTGAGCCCACCAGGCTACTCACCTGTGACGCATCTGCTGGGGGCCAAGGGTCAGAGAAAAGAGCACACGGAGGGCGGGGAACCGGCATCAGGGGCTGCGTTCCAGGGTCACGTGCTATCGCATCTTGCTTACAACCGCTGCCCGCCCGGGGCAGCCCAACTTCTCCCGAGGGCCGGCAGCCGCGCACCCTGCTGCGCGATGGGGCATGCCGAGGGACACCAGGGGCCTTTCCTGCAGGAGCGTCGGGAGCGGGGCTGCCCAACCTGGAGGGGAGGACACGGGCGGTCACCAAGGCACGGGGAGGATGCAGCCCCGTCCCCTCGCCACCCGACAGCCCAGGCGCCGCGGACACCGCCTCCCAAGGGCAGCCAACTGACCGGCGGGCATGGGGCCCGCAGGCCGGGCCGCCCTCGCC